AGGTCTGCAGATGAGCCCGGAGGACGCAGTGGGCAAGAGAGGAGGAGTTAGCATAGCAATAGGTTAGAGGCAGCCATAGCTGCCATAGCTGTAATTAGTAGTGAGTGTGTGTGTGTGCTCGAGTGTTAGAGTGATGCGTGTGGGATGTCCAGGGTGATCCAGTGTATGTGAACAGTGAGATGTTTGGGCGCTGAAGTCGCCATAGCCATTTGAGAGTGAACTCGTATCTGAAGCCATATCTCTGAGTTTTGAGTGGGCGCATGTCGCCAGTGTGCTGCGTTACTGTTTACATGTGTGAAAAGTGTGTTTGAAAACGAGTCTGATTGCATCGCCTTGTTTTGGACCCCCTGAACCTTCGCTTTGCCAAGTTATGCTTCCACTGCAGCAGGGATTACCATCATTACCTGTACTCCTCCATGTGTCACTATCCCTTGGTGTGTCTTTAGTGTAGTTGGTCATTCAGATGTTCTTTCCATCTGCTGCATATTTCGTAGTATTTCCTGTCTGCGACCTGAATGATAAATGATATTAAATAGGAATAGCATGTAGTTTGACAGGAGAAAGGGACACTGGACCCGGTTTCCAGTATGAGCCTAATCTGGGTAACGGCCTCAGTCTTCCAGGTTGAGATGTGGAGGGATTCCCGGCCTCCTTTTGCTCTATATATAATGAAGCATGTTATTTATATATATATATTAAAAAAAAAGAAGAAGAAGAAGAAGATAAATGATATTAAATATTTCCAATTTTCCACCCCTAGTTTCTTCTTTCAATTTGCTGAAAAGGGGGGGCAATGTCCCCTCGACTGTCAGTTCATAAAATTATGTGGTTCTAAAACTTCTAATATAATTATATAAATTATAAAATTTTAATAAAAAATTGTATGCAGGGAGGAGGAGATGCGTGCAAAAGTTGCGGCAACGATTCAGGAGATTAGCCAGCAGAAAGAGGCGGAATTTGAAATGCGAAAGGGGATGTGGGAGGAGGAGAAGTCAAAATGGAAGCATAGCTTTGAGGAATCGATGGCTGTCAAGTTGCAACAAATGGAAAACGAAATGAAGGAAAGGTGCAGTAACCTTTTTTTTGTTTTGTTTTGTTTTTAGTACTTTTTACTCTTTTGGAAAAGGAAATAAAGGAAAGGTACAGTGACCTACCTACTAACCATGATATATAATGACTTCAAGCAACCGACCCCGAATACAACGCACCCTGAGAAAAGGCTAAGGTTGAGGGTTCAAACTTCAAATCCCATTTTTTTTTCCGTTCGTCGGCTTCCTTGGCTGCCTGGCCAAGAAAAGAATGGAGCCGACACCACCCCACCCTGGGGTGGATGGCAAAGATGAACGCTTCGCGGCGGTTGTGTCACCAGAGGCCACAAAGTGGGAGAAAGTGGTTGATGAAGATTTTAAGCGTCATTTAGGTAAATAGAAAATACATATTAGAATAGTAAAAACATAAGCTTGTAGACTGGAGCAACCAGATCGTGCACTAGGGGAGGATGCTCTTACCACCACCCCCTAGTGACGCTGCCCTGGCTTAAAAAAAAAAAAAAAAAAAAAAAAAAAAAAAAAAAAAAAAAAGCTTGTAATACAGCAACACTTAACTCTAATGCACTTAATGCGAAAACAATGAGAAAAGGTGCAAGATGAGCTAAATACATGATACCTCAAGTGAATCTCCCACTGTCGAGTGTTTCATACCATCATTTTTTTCTGAAAGTGCAAGCCAAGGTTCCAGCTCATAAAGCTATAAGACCTTACCTAAGGCCAGGGACGACCGGAGAAGAAAACACATGCACACACGCACATGCTCCCCGAATGTATAAGAGCTTTCCCTATAAACTATTATAAAGTTATAAAGTTATAAAATGTGAAGATAAATATATAGAACACTTGGGGAGTGTGTGTTTTCTGAAATCTTCTACGTACTTCATGTACTGGAAGTAAATCTATGGAATAATCCTCATAGTATGAAGTACTACAAGGCTAGTATAAGACTAGTATAAGTACTACAATCTTAAAGATGCTATAGAGTAATGAACTACAGGTTTATGAAAGTGGAATCTATGGAGGATATAGTTGCATACCAGCCATACACTGACTACGTGTTATGTAGCACGTACTGATGAGCCTGAAAGACATAGGCACTAGGGATGTGGATAAAAGAAGCAAAACGGAAGGACAGAAGGCATGAAAACGGCGCGGCACAGCACAGTGAAGCTTGTGAAAAGAATAGCAACTTTAGCAAGGCACACTGAACAAGCATGCCCTTTTCTTTTTTTTGTTCTTTCTTTTTCTTTTTCTTTCATCTGTAATTGTGTTTCAGGCTTCCAGCTGCATGCTACACATATGCATACAGTGCCATACACTTATGACATCATCCATCAACTTGAAAGAGTCCTTTTCTGCGAGCGATGGTTAACGGAGGCCTAAATTTTCAGACAATTTGTCATGCCATTTAGAAGAAAACCCAAAGCCCAAAGGCGATTTTAACCAAACTTGCCACTAATTCATAAAGTGGACACCACAATAAGTAATGGCCAAAGAAAAAAAGAAACGAAAGAAAAAAGAAGAAAACCTATAAAGCTGCAAGCCAGAGGTCCAGAAGTGCATTTTCATGTATATTTCACCCTCCTTTTTTTTTTTTTTTTTTTTTTGAAGGGCGACGGCCTTGAGATATCATCATTGAGATGACCGGCGCCAGGTAATTCAAAATTATTTTACTCTGTTCATCTCATTACAGCTGGATTTGACCCATTGGTTATTTGAACGTATTTCACCAACATTCTAATTTCAGAAATGTCAGCAGAGGAATTTCCAGTGGTCCAAAAGATGAGAAATTTGGCAAACAGCAATATTGAACAGAAACAAAAACAGGCGAAAAAAAAAAAAAAAAAAAAAAACAACATAAGTTGAAACTTGAAACCATACCCCCTTGTCACGAATAATCTCCACTGTACGCACACACGAACCATTGTTGTGATCGTACCTCGGCTGAGTGACCCATTTCCGACTTGTTGTGTTGAGTGCGGCTGTGAGCATAAGGTTGCCATTCCTTCTTGATGCACTATCCACATACTAAACATGGGTTCAAGGCCACGTTCAATGAATTTTCTTGTTCGACAAATGACTGCAAAAAAGTTGCTTTTCAATTTTTTATTTTTTATTTTTATTTTTTGCCTGAGTGGACGGCATTGATTACTTCCCTAGGGAAGGATGTACCACCCCTCACCCCTGCCTGAGTTAGCCTGTATCCACTACCTTCTGATCCTCTGTGTCTCCTAGCTCCTAGCTCTTCTCAGCTGAGTGCTGTCAGGTAAACCTGAATGCTAGAGCTGATGTCTGGGGCTGGCATCAAGGGTTTGCTTAAAATTTGTTTCTACACAGCTCAACCCGGTCATAAGAAGGAACTTGTATGAACTTGCTTACTTCTTGAGTTCTGAGGGATTTATATCTTCTAACCTCCCTCTCTCTCAGCTTTTATGCTGCCGGGTACTCTAAATCCTGTCTGTACTGCGGTTTCTGCCCTTTGCCTTCTCTTAAACCCTAAACCCTAGGCTTCTCAGGTCGTTTGTTGTAGGTAGTTTGCTAGGGGGGGGTTGTTTTTTGTGGGCGCTATGCGCTGTGTTCTATCCCTTTTCCCATTTCCAGTCTGTTTCTATCAGCTTCTAGGCTGTCGGATTTGCCTTAGTTGCTAACACTGTTGCTTAGGTCATTTATTTCTATCTTATACACTTCTGCTACTTGTCGTACTATTAGAGTACCTTTGGTGAAGTTCTAGGGTTTGTCTAGTTTCTTCTCCTCCATAGTGTACTTACTTGTTGTCTCGATTGATAACTTACCTCCCTATGTCCTCTGTTTATCTTGAATCTGTGCTTGTCTTGGGTCTTACTTCCCCGTTCCTGATATGTCTGTCTCTGTCAAATGCGGGGTCTTGCGCTGCCGTACTCGTCGGGGCTGGTTAGATTGGAGAGTTCCTGTTTTGGGTTCTTACATCAGTCTAATCTGAGAATATGTTGGTTTCAAGGGACTCGGGGATGCTGTTTACTGAGGGGTCTTGCGAATGGATTCTTGGTGGGGATTCTTCCCATAATCAAAATACTATACTTAGCCTCGGATCAGAGCAACTTTGACTTTTGCTAGGAAGTTTTCTTTGAAAGTGTGTTGATGTTCTTTGGCTTTGTCTTTGTCATCTTCAATCCTCCTTCGTACTTTGCGCCATAGGGTCCAGTATTCGGTTTCTATCTGTTGTTGGAGTAGTCCCCACGCTTCTTGTGTGTGCATTTTTTTTTTTCCTACTGTTTCTTGGCACCTTTTCCACCATATTACCCATAGTATGGGTTTTCTAAGTATTCTGAAGAAGTTGGATTCTAGCGGCTTCCAGTTTTCTGGACTGTTGAAACCTAGGAGTAGGAGTGTGGTGTTGCTTGTGAGAGTTGTGCCTGTTACTGTATTCCATAGACTTGCTTCTCTTTGCCATAGTGATTTTATTCTAGGACACTGTACGAAACAATGATATAAGTTTTCTAATTGACCCTCGTTGCAGTTGGCACACAGTTCTTTCAGCGGACTTCTGTCTTCTTTTTTTCTTCGTACGTTTAGCCATTGGTTCAGTGGGACTGCTAGGCAAAGGATTAGCCATTGTAGGCTTATAAATTTGGGCGGATTAATAAATGTTATTTTTGTTCCATGGTATTGGGTCTAGTGCATCCGGTTCTACATCCAGGTGTCTTTTCCATCGCTCTGCTATTATTGGGTCCCGGTTTGCAGAACGGCGTCTCGGCTGTTGTGTATTGTAACATATTGAATTTGATGTTGATTCCTAAGGTTCCTTTGCTTCAGGTTCCATGCCCATTCTGCTGGGTCCACTTTTAGGTTCTCTAATGGAGTTTGGGGGCAGTAGATGGTTAGCTCCTCGTTTCTATTACTCTTATCTCCCTTAGGTTATCCTCCCGGACTGAAACTTGTGCTGTTTGGTTTTTGTGGATCTTACTGTGGTCTGAGCCTGGTCCTTCTATTTCGTGCACAGTAAATACGTACCAGTTATGATTGTCCTCTTCTCTGTCCCAAAATGCTAGCGCGTGTTTCTGTTGGGGTTCGTTCAATAGGATCGCTCAGTCTCCTGTGGTCCACTGTCTGTCCTTTTTGAGTGCTGGTACCCATTCTTGTGGTATGGCTGCTATGATTTCTTGTAGGTTCTGATTTAGTCTATGGCAGCCTTTGAGCTGATGTCTGAGTTGGTTACCTTGTTTCCATTCTTTGGTGTTGTCATCCCAGATATGCTTGATCTGCCATATTCCTTTTTCTAGCCATACTCCCCCATTTTGTGTCTTTTGAGGTCAGTGTGAATGGGCTTCCATCTTCTTTTGCTATCCATTGATTACAGAATAGGGGTTTTCTTAGTATCTCCTCTTTATTGCAAGGTTTCCTAACTTTAGCTGGGAAGATCTCCCTCCAATCCCGAAGGATCCCCTTCTAGAAACCCAGCCGTGACTCGTTTCTCGAGTGCATTGTGTTGTGGTTCCCCCCGTTCATTGACCATGATTTGCTCATTACCCAGAAGGAGCCTTCCATGTTGGTTGGGGTGTTATATATTGGTAGTTGTATCCCGTCAAGGGCTAAAGCTCTCCAGGGTAGGCTAGGTCTAGTGATGAGTTTTAGGATCCATTTAGTTTGCAGGGCTTTTATTTGGGTTGTTTCTAGGACTCCTAGCCCCCCCTGCCCTTTTTTCCTCGTGACGTACTGCCAAGCGACTTTGGTTATGAAGTGTTGTCTGGAAGCATCTCCTGTCCACAAGTAGGTTGTGGCTTTCCTTCTTAGGTTTCTCAATGTCCAGTGGTCTGGTGTCTAGAAGGCTGCCACATACCACATCATGGCGAAAATGGAAGAGTTTAGTAATAGTGCTCCTCCATGTAGTGAAGTGTGTATTTTGCCCCAGTTACTGAATTTACTTGTCATCTTGGCTAGGAGGCTAGGGGACATTTTTGTCTCTGCTCCGTGCTCTGTCAGTTGGATCCCTAGGACTCTCAATGAGTCCTTCGTGTCGGACCAAGTCATGTCGTCTAGAGTGTTTGGAGGAAGGCCCAATGCTCCCATCCGTTAACCACCATCCTATTGTTTTTTGCCAGTTGATTCACATTTCAGAGGCCAATTGATATGCGTGCATGGCTCTAGTGAGGGCTTCAAATGAGGAATTGGATGCTCTTACGAGTACAGTTAAGTCGTCTGCGAACATGATCGTGGGTGGTATGTGGTGTGGTCTATTAGGGTCTTTTGACGGGTTTGTGAGACGTTGTATAGATGGGTCGTTTCTGAGGAACGAGGCTATTGCCTCCATAATAAATAGGAATATTGGGGCTGCTAGTGGGCCTCCTTGCCTTACAGAACTGGACATCTTATAGAGATTGGATATGTGGCCATTCACTCGAACTGCCCCGTGTGCATTATTGTATAGAACTCTGACTCATTTCCTGAAGTTTGGACCTACGCCAATATTTTCCATACATTGCTGGAGGAAGTCCCAGTTAACTTGGTCATAAGCTTTCTCGAAGTCAAAGAAGAGGATTGCTGCATTCAATTTTTACTTTTTAATTTGGAGCATTTTTTTCTCGATTTATGTGTGTCATCCTTGGGCAAAGGCAATGCTAATCTTCTCTGTATCGTTCTAGGTTACCAGCATGGACGTCCGGGACCCTTTTTGGTTACGGGTTGTCCGATCAGACAACTCCCCCAGTCGTCCAAGCGGGGCCCAGTGTCCGGGCTGGTTTAAAAATTGGCTTTGGGGCCTGATCGGGTTCTTGGGCCTGCGGGGGTGCAGTTTTGGGTATGTAGTACCCCTGCTTAGGTTGGGCGACTTTCGTGAGGCTGGTAGGGCCTCCAAAAACGAAAACAAAAATGGCCCGGTCTGGGCCGTCAGATCTAAGAGATCTACGACCCAGATCAGGCCAAATTCAAATTTGAATTGCACCCCCGACCGCTGTCTGCCCGCGCGCGACTTGGGCATGTCGTGGGAGTTGGATGTTGCCGAAATCGCGCACCAACGGCCATGACCCAACACGTGTTCCAACCCCCGTGCAGGTGCATACCCTCCTCCTTCCTCCTCCTCAATGTCTCTCTCATCTCTCCTCCTCATCCTGCTTTCCCTCCTCCTCCTCCTCCTCCTTTCCCTCCATCTCTTCCTCCTCCTCCTCCTCCTTTCCGTCCACTTCCTTCTGCTCCCCCTCCTCCTCCTCCTTCTTCTCCTCATCTTCTTCCTCCTCCTCCTCCTCCACCTCCTCCTCCTCCCCCTCGTCCATCGCCGCCGTCCTCCTCCTCCTCTTCCTCCTCCTCCTCTTCTTCTTCGTCGCCATCCTCCTCCTCTTCCTCCTCTTCCACATCTTTCTCCTCCTCCTCC